ATAATATAACAATAAAGTGCAACAATACAACAACAACAACACAACAAAAACACAATTTGTGATTTACGGGGAAGCTATGCCCCTGACCCCCATAAATGTTGATGGCCAATTGTACTTTGCAGACACAGGTCCTTTCTTCTGCCATCAAAGGCCATCATGAACATCCCATGAAGGAGTCAAAGATGGTTGGGTGGTGGGAATGTCTGCTAGAGTTAGAGCCCACTGCTGTCATTATGATGTGGTTAGCAAAATGAACATAAAAGAGATTAAAGTCAATGATAATTAGTAACCTCAAATTCCACCATAGCCTTCTTCATGCTTTCCACATCAAATATCATCTTAATAAGGTCTTGAATTGGCTTGGGAAGTTTTGATTTGGTTCCTGCACTCACTGTCAGTTTCTTCACTGCTTCTTCATCCTTATAAGAGAAAAAAGAGAGCATGTAAGAGAACACACATTTAGATTAGTATGCAAAAAATGTATTTTGATTCATCCAGCCTAGCAGTTTGAAAGCATGCAAATGCAAGTACCATCGATAAATAGGTACCACTTCGGTGGGAAAATAACAGCATTCGGTGCAGTCATGCTGGCCACATGACCACCATAGTAGTCCTTGGAAAATGTTGGCTCCTTGGTTTAGTCAGAGATGAGCACTCTTCCCTACGGTTACAACCAGACATTCATGTCAAGGGACTACTTTTACCTTTACCTTTAGTTTAGCTAGACAGTAAGCATGCAGCTTGGAGCTTACAACCCCACACATTTAAACTAAATCTAACTTTCTATATTAAGCCTAGTTCTAAAGAGGCGATAAGCCTTTATTTTCTTTACAGAAAAAAAAAATATTTCAAATTTTGTCCCATTAGTTTCTTCAAATGTAGCAACAGAAAAGCTACATCCCCCAGAATTCCCCAATCAGTACAGCTAATAGCTTTGATGACACAATTCAAATATTGCAAGCCAATCCTTTCATGTTGCCCTTAGCTGACACAAACAAGGTCATCTGAAGGAGTTCAAGCTAAGAACAACTGAATAGATCCAATTCTTAAGCATCAAACTCTCACACCAGGCAGAAGAAAAAGTGTGTTAAAGAAAGGAGATAGTATGCTCTGAAGGAAAATGACAGTTGCTAGAACACACAGTAGGAAGTAAGTTCCACTGAGATCTTATCACTTCTGAGTAAAGATGTATAGCAGGAATGGATCCCAAGGGTCCCTAGCAGTTCACAGCAAATATTTTGAGGGTAATTTTTTAAGTTTGCCTCCCCCCCCCCCCGCAAGCCAACTGTGCCCCCCAGCCTCAGTAAGCTTTTTAAGATTGGCTTCTATAGTCTTGAGCTGCTTTGGTATCAACTTTTAGAGAACAAGACTTCCAAAACGGGATCCTGGAGTGACAGACAGAAAACTGTGGCTTGGAACTAATGAGAGATATAAAAAGGCACCCAAACTGCAAATAGCCAGTTAAGAATTCCTCTTCCTCCACAGAGTTCTGGAAGAGCACAGTTGCTTTTTGGGGACAATAAAAATTAACACCACAAAATTTTGAGGAGGTGAAGGAAGTAAACTGGAGGGGTGGCCCCCTAGAAACCCGCAGGATTCCACCCCTGTTGTACACAGTTCAGTTGTCATTTGGTTGGTTCCATACTTCCAGCAACCTAACTGCAACTAATTTACTTTTGATTAATTTCAGTGTGCTTATGCTGTACACAACCAGGTCTGGATCCAACCTAGTTTTTGATATGGTGAAGCGCTATGCCTGCTGCTGGCCTTGTGCTAAATAACCCAGAGTATTTCCAGTATACATGACTGGGATGCACAATGCATAGCTCTCCAGATGTTCTTGGACTGCAACTCTGATCAGCAATCACCACTAGCATTATTTTCCAGGGATGATGGGTTCTGTAGTCCATCAACACCTGGAGGGCACAAGATGCCCACCTCTGATCTTCCCAAAGAAGTTATTTCTCTTTTTGGAATGCAATCATCATTACCTGCCCATAGTCTATTTCCAGAGGGTAGAATTTTTTGGGATATTTGGTGAAATTTTTGGAATGCCAGGAGTTGCCTGTCTTTTCCTCATACAGGTTCAGAAAGTGTTCAATGGCTTCCTCTTTAGATGACATCTGTTCTAGCTTATTGCTTCCAATGACTGTGCCAACACGACCCCAAGAACGGAAAACCCAGTATCTACAGTCAAGAGGAAATATGAGAAAACAAGCAGTTAGGACTAAGTTGAACAAATAGTTCTAGAGGGGAACATGCATACAGCAAAGGTCAAATCCAAATCCCATTAGTCCCCATGTGCATTCCATTACCCACAGCTGCAATAAATTGATCTGTCTACTGTCATCTACCTACACAAGCTGACATCATTAAAGAAAAACAGAAAGCATTTGTGGATTTAGGAGCTGTGAAATATTGAGATTACAAAGCTAATAATAAACTATACTCAGTGCTATATGAACAGTCTTCCAACCTGCCTCCAGGGCTTTCTGGATGAAACAGATTATTTAGATCCATTTCAATCTGGCTTCAGGCCTGGCTTTGGCACAGAGACAGCTTTGGTCGCCTTGGTGGATGACCTATGCAAGGAACTGGGCAAGGGGAATGTGTCCCTGTTGGTCTTGCTAGATCTCTCAGTGGCTTTCAATACCATCAACTATGGTATCCTTCTGAGCTGCCTTTCTGGTATGGGACTTGGGGGCACTGCTACGCAGTGGTTCTGGTCTTTCTTGGAGGGGCGGGCCCAGAAGGTGGTGTTGGGGGACTCCTGTTTGACTCCTTGGCCACTGAGATCCCACAGGGTCCTGTGTTGTCCCCCTTGTTATTTAACATCTACACAAAACCACTGGGAGAGGTCATCCAGAGTTTTGGAGTACAGTGTCATTAGTAGGTGGATGACACCCAACTCTATCACTCCTTTCCATCGGACTCCATGGAAGCTGTCTCTGTAATGAACCAGTGTTTGCTGTCAGTAATGGAATGGACGAGGACAAACAAACTGAAGTTCAATCCAGACAAGACAGAAGTGTTCCTGGTATTGGGGCTTTGCCTGAGCTGGATGGGGTTACACTCCACCTGAAATCTCAGACTCGCAGCTTGGGTGTGCTCCTGGACTCCACTCTGAGCCTGAATGCCCACGTTTCAGCAGTGGCTAGGAGTGCATTTGCACAGTTTAAAACAAGTGCGCTACCTGCACCCATTCCATGAGACGTCAGATCTGGCTATGGTGACACATGCCTTGATTACATCCCATTTGGACTACTGTAATGCACTCTACATGGGGCTGCCTTTGGAAACTGCTCGGAAACTTCAGCAGGTTCAAAACACTGCAGCTAGAATGCTGACCGGAGCCAGTTATAGGAAGCATATAACTCCTGTATTGAAACAGCTTCACTGGCTACCTGTTCATTTCCGAGCACAATTCAAAGTGCTGATCATGACCTATAAAGCCCTACATCACATGGTCGCTTGGTGAGGACATAAGAGAGAGACTTCTAGGTGGCTGCTCTCACCCTGGGGAACTCCCTTCCATGGGGGCCTAGGCTGGCCCCCTCCCTTCTGGCCTTTTACTGGCAAGCAAAAACATTTTTATTCAAGCAAGCTTTTTAAAATCATGCAGACCTGGTTTTATTGGGGTAGGGGTTGGTTTAGATTATTTTTAACCTTTGTATGTTGTAAATTTTGTATGTTTAAATTTTAACCTTCTAGTGTTTTAATTAGGTTATTTTAATTGTTTTTAAAATGTTTTAATGTGTTTATATTGTGAGCCGCCTTGGGCCCCTTTCTGGGAGAAAGGCGGGATAGAAATAAAACAATAAATAAATAAATCTAAATAATTTTGAAAATCTGAAGACTATAAATTAGAAGATTTCATTCCACCAGAGAATGGCCACTGTCTATAATCCATAAGAACAGCAGCAATCTAATAATCATAACATCAGCACTGCAACCATTTTTCATGGTACTAAATTTTGTTTTGGCTGGCTTTGTTTTTAACTCTCCATTTTGTTTTATCTTTGAAAAAAAATACATAAATGTACATATATCTGTATATATGGACAAATAAATGATTAAATTAAAAACAGTGGATACAGATGATCCATCTAGTATTTTTCTGCTAATTTAACATCAGTACTGGAACACAAGGTCTTGAAAGACATGTCAGATTCTTGCTGTGTGCCTTCAAGTTGTTTCCAACTTATGGCGATATCAGGTTTTCTTGGCAGAACTTTTTTGCAGGGTTTTCTTGACAAGATTTGTACAGAGGGGGTTTGCCTTTGCCTTCCTGAGAGGCTGAAAGAGAGTGACTTGCCCAAGGTCACCCAATGTGTTTCTCTGAGCGGGGATTCAAACCCTGGTCTCCAGAGTTGTAGTCCAGTATTCAAACCACTGCACCACACTGGATTCTACCTCTTGCATTTACTGGGCTCTTGCATCTAGCTCATGAAAGTTCATGCCACTGTATAACTCTGCTTAGTCTTTAAGGAGATAAAAGACTACCAAGTAGTAGGTAATATCTACCCAGAAGTAAGCACCACTAATTTTAAAGGTGTGTCCTCTAGATAACTAAGTATGAGACTCTAACCTCAATGTTGTTTTTGATGTGACAGACTAACAGGGCTACTAGCCTTCTGTACTACTGCCACTGGCACTGGATTCATACAACATGTTTAAGAGCATAGAAAAGAGAATTAACAAGTTGAGTGCAGCTATTCTGTTCAGGTCTCTCACTACTAAGAAAAGGTAACACACAGCAGGCAAACCCCATTACTGAAGTCAAACTACAGAACAAACGTGCAAGACAATTCCTTTTTAAGAAAAAACAAACCTGATTTCTCGATCATCTTCTAGTAGTTGAAGCTTATAATATGAATTTGTTCCTCTGACGATATCGACTAAGCCAAGAGTAGCACTGAAGATTTTACCACCTTTTTCAAAGACATGAGCAGAATCTTCCAACCCTTATAGACATATTTTAAAGAGAGGGTAAACAAGAGTTTGAGAGAAATACATTTTCCTTTACTCAGATTATTAGATGAACTAGAGCACAAGTTCATTTCCTTTCCTACTTCAAAAAGAAAGGCATCTCAAAAGAGAATTTCAATGCTGTCGACATTTTATTTAAATTATTTATTATACCCCTTCCCACGGTACCAGGAGTGCATAATGTGGTCCCCGAACATTCCCAAGCCTTGGGAACCTCTATCATTGTGTCTCATGACACCTGAATGCACTCCTACACTTCATATGTAACGGATGTATTCATAAAGCATGCACCATGAGAGGCTGGACATTTACAGGTAGTAAAGCTTTCCCAGTTCCAAATTTATCATGGAACGCCAGAACTAGAGATGTACATTTGGGTTTCTGAAATCACCTGATTCAGGATCTACAGCAGCTCCTCCTTTCACTGTCAGCTTCATTTTCTTTTCAGACTTGCTTGTTCCTAGACAACATGAAAGAGGAAGGGAAGAAAAATCCTAAGAATATAATGATGAGTTAAATCAGCTAAAACATATTTATTTTTAATTACCTGTTTTTAAAAATTGTGAACATCTGTATTTTTTAAATGATAAAGCTGGAGATAGCAAGCATCATCTTAAAAGAAGCACTGCCCTTTCCTTCAGACACATAGATGATGCCTTACATATTTGTGAACAATGCAGAAAGCAGATGGTAAGATGAAGGACCCTGTGCTCTCCAAAAATTAAGACAACTTCTTTAGTGCCTTACCATTGGTCATATTGGATGGACCAGACGGGTGTTGCATACCAAAACATATGGAAGGCCAAACATCCCCCACCCCTACACATGAGAATCTAAAATACAGGACAATGCATGTGTCCTGAGGCTAGTCCTGTGAATTTATGAACACATGTCCAAGGTAATAACCAGACTTCTGCAATGCAAGATGCCATGCAAGCTGAACACAAGCCCACTCATTCACAGAATAAGGCCTCATTAGCCCTAAACTAATCTGTCCCTTCACCAACCCACTAGCAGAGAGCACCCATTCCTGTTGTTCTTCAGGAGGAAGCATAGCAGTTTGGGAGGAGGATTTATATGTCTTAGCAAAGGGATGGCTTCTTAGTCTCCCTCTAACAAGCCAGCAAATCATCCTTCAAGCAATAGCAACAAGACAAAGGTCTGCAGTGGAGAGAGTGCTGTTACATTTTTGTTCCCCTTCACCTTGCTCTTCTTTGTTCTTCCCAGCGCTCTTCAGGTTTGAGTGTCCGCTGTTTTTTCCTCCCACAAGCACCTGTTTGTGTTCCTGCTTGACCTCTGCACCCCAGGGAGAGAGAGAATGAAGTGACAGAAGCTCCTGGAAGCCCTTGCTGGAAGACTTCACATCCTGGAGGAACTCCTCTGAAACCACACGCACCTGGGCCACCTTCACTTCCTCCATTTTCTTATTCATCTTCTCAACTTCCTCTGTAATGTTATTAACAGGAGATGAGGGACAGTAGAAGAAAAAGCATGTCATGATATATCATCCTTTTTAGCACTGGACATATCAGTTACTTTTGCAAAGGTGAGAGCAGATCAAGATTGAAAGGCAGAGCTCATGTTTTACATTCACTGAATCTCAAGTTCACAGGAACAGAGCGTGGAAACATCTCAATGAGGATTGAGCATACTCAGTGGATATAAAATGTTGAGTGTGTTTCAGGAAGAAAAAGAGGATTGGAAGATGAAATGGCAGGTTGATACCACCTTAGGAATAGTTCCTACTTCTTATGCCTCTAAAACAGGGTTTGGAATCAGGTTGTCTTCCAGATATTGTTTGCAATTTCCAGCATTCCTTATCACTGGCTTTACTGGCTAGGGTTGCTGGGACATGCATTCCAATATCTGTAGGTCACACGATTCCCAATCCTGCTTTAAAACCTCAAAAGCACAATATTTCACATTTACTCCAGCATGCAGTTTTTAAGGGGCAAATTTATAATTTTTAAGGAGCAATAACTCTGCTTTCACTCCATCAGAATGATATTCAGCACTTCCACACTGACATTTTTTCTTTAAAAAAAGCCAACAGAAGTTTTTAAAAAAGGGACAGCAGAAAAGGATGTCAAGTTTACTGGAACAAGAAGGATTTCTATATTATAATTTAAAGCACTGGTCTGTAATGCTACAGAAAAACACATATATCATCAGAGTCACCAAACCTAATGTGTTATCTACTGGGAACAAAGAAATACCATTGTAAGATTTTCAGTTTAAATGGTCAATCACATTGCATTCTTCAAATTTTGGGACTTGTTGCTTCAGACTGTACATTTGTGAACCCATTTAACCAGATCTGATATTGACACTTAGGTTGACATCTTGAACATTTCTGTACAAGCTTGAGAGTTATCAGCAAACTTCACTTTTTTTCCCCAAATTGCTTGGTTTGCATGAAACTTGGTTGGAAACAAATTTTGAGAACTTCAGTGGTCAAACTCTTATTTTATTCATATCACATAGTAACCAAAATAATCAACATCAGCTCAGCCAATGCTAGGCAAAGTTTTCATTGGCAAGCACAGGAATTAGGAGAGTACACTGAAATATTGTTGCATCACTTTAAAGCATGTGTAGCCATGTTATGTTTAATATTTCAATGCAAAACTGAATGGGCAGACTGATATAGGGCCTTTGCAGACTGCTAGAAATAGTGCAAATTGAGTCCACTTTAAGGGTTAGGGAATCATGGGAACTGTATTTTATTGTGGCACCAGAGCTCTCTGACAGAGAAGGCTCAATGTCTCAGGGGGAAAAAAAAAACAATTGCCATGATTCCCTAGCACTAACCCTAACCCTTAAAGTGGAATCAATTTGCACTATATCAAGCAGTCTGCAAAGCCCATACTTCCAATGTCTTCCATACCCTCCACATCCCATTCTGTCACTAGCTGTAGTTATTGTAACTGAAAACCAGCTTTTTCTCCTTTTCTAGGGCTAGACTATCTTAACTCTTCTCCTATTTGAAGATTGCTAAAGACACTGAAAACAATTACTCACTTTGTGAGCTTATGCACAAGTCTGCTTTATTCACAGTAGCTGTCACCTTTCCTCCAAGCTCTTCAATGGCAGACTTGATTTCATCTTTGTTTTTTGACAATTTCCCAAGGATTAAAATCTTCATGCTACTTAATGGTTTATCTGTTGGTTCAAATTAAATGGACAGATTATGATTGATAGATCATGTGAAGGAGGGGAAAAAAGAAGACATACACAATTATTTCTATTTAAAATCAACTTTTTAACCATAGTTTTATGCCAAGAATATGTGTACAGGAGTGTGTACTGAGTATTCTGAGTGGTGATGACCTATCCTCCCCTTGATGTTGTCCCCTGCAAATCCCATGATCCCTGACTATCTTGGCTGGAGATTCTAGAAGTTGGGGTCCCACACATCAACTAGAATCACAGAATTCTTAACCCTTAGTCACAGGAAAAACAAAGCATTCCTCAGTGACCCACAACTTTAATACTGGATGTGCAGCTTTTGAGATTTCAGAGCTAGCATTACCCCAAAATTTTCAAACATTTTACTTGCATGGTGAGGTCTAGAATCTTGGGTTTGATAATTTTAATGTGAAATTCTCAGGACACTGACATCTATGGCCAGTATCAAATTTTGCTCTTTCTTGAAACTGCAGAATATACCAATTCTGAATATAAAAGTAAAGCTTATCAATATATCAATTACGGTAATGGTCATTTGTGGCTCCAGATGTCTTTAAAAACAAGCCTCCTTATATGCTTTCTTATTTTGCTTTCAGATTCTCTAGAGAAACACAACCCTGCTGTCAGTGTGTTAGAGCTGACACACCATACAATAACATTACTTTAGGCCTGGTACATATGATTTAGTTCATATTATTGGTATGATTTAGATGGGAGGGAAAACATTTCCACACCTTTCCTCAGAGAAGCACTCACAAGAGTAGACGTAAGAAGTCTGCAGCCCTTCAGATGTTGCTGGGTTTCAAGTCCCATCAGTCAGCACAACCAATGATAAAAGATAATAGGAGCTGCAGTCCAACAATACATAGAAACCTATAAATTGACTACCCTGGATTAGATAGGGCTAGGTGCTGTAGGTGAGATTTCAGAGGAAGGTCATGGCAAACCACCTCTGAGTATTCCTTGCCTAAGAAAACCCTATGCAATTCATGGGACCACTGAAAGTCGACAGGCAACTTGAATGTGCGCGCGCGCGCACACACACACACACAGGCTCATGAAATATTAGGTATACATTCTTTTAAGCTTTGACAGTATTTAAAGCCAGAATTCTCTCATAATTTTCTCTTTAGTAGGAACAATGGTCCACAAGCTACATTTACCTGCTGGAGCAGTGGAGTTTTCTACAATGAGAGTGGACACTGTTGGAGGAGGTGCAGAGTTTGTAG